GGGGGGGGGGGGCGCGTCTTGTTCAGACTCAATTAAAAAATGAGAGAGAGAGAAAGTTTGTCCTAGGGAAATGATTCTTAGAAATATGTGTCTGGTTTAATTCAAAGGACAAAGACATTGATGCTGTTTAGAAAACTTTGCCAGTCTCATGGCTTTAAAATATTTTATTGTAGTGGAGAGATGTTGCTGTAGGGAGACTTCTATGTCTAACAGTCCCAAATATTGATTTTGCTTGACTTATATACATTTAAAGCATCGTGGTTCTCGAGAGGAGCCATGACAAAGTATTTCCCAAATACCTTTTACCTCCAGAGCTTTCTGCGCCGCAGGTCCAAACATTCATTATCCACGGACATAAAAGTCTAAATTCCCAACTGCACGCGTTTATCCTGATTTACTCCAAAAAATAATTGTGAGGATTCTTGGAAATTTATATCGTAAAACAACAAAAAGCCAGGTCTTGGTTTACAACAGAGTAGTTTTCATCAATATATGACCTATTTAAATGGAAGGAATCAGGTGAAATGTACTATATTGTTTCTAATACCAACTAGACATTAAGGGTTTATCTCAGACCTTTTTTTTTTTTTTTTATAGATTCCCAGTAAATATGATACTTGCTGTTTTTCAACATTTTTTTTTTTTTTTTTAAGTAGAAAGCTCCGTACAATTACTTAAACCACTGCCAGGAAAATCCCTTCGTTCTGGATAACAAAGTAAAATTGTTTCACTTTATGGCCGGGAGCATAACCAGAAGGAGCCTAGCATCCTGGTAACACTGTTACTGTTATAAAGCTACAAAGTGTATTTTTGATTAATTTTTGAGTAAGGCAAACACACTCTGTATTCGACTTTAGTTCTCTGCCACACATGCTTTCGCATTAGTTTCACTTTTTTTTTCTTTTTTCTTTTTTCTTTTTTTTTTTTACAGAGTTCTCATACTGAAATGCATTCCAGTGGAATTATGAGCATTTTCCCATTTTACTCTTTAAATCCTTTGGCTTTTAACTACCTAATGTTGACATTTGTGAAAGATCTGAAATGTTCTGCTAGTCAGTTTTTCCACTGGCCGTTTGCAGTAGTTTGTCCCTGAAACTGCATCAGCCTCCTTCAGAGAACAGTGCAGGGCGTGAGCTCGGCCTCTATCTGGACTTGAAGGTTAATGGGGGGGCGGATATCTGGACTTGAAGGTTAATGGGGGGGGCACTGGTCAATATAGAAGGTGTTTTTCTCTGACTGTTGAATGGGCTGTGTAGCCAAATCTCCCCAAGATTTGATGCAGTTCTGTAGGAATAGAACTTTTGAGGCCAGAGAAGTCTCCCCTAGGGCCTGGCACCACTGCAGAAGGTGGTTCTTGCTAAAATGGAAAACAAGCCACGGACCCGCGAAGGGCTCAGACGGTGCAGTGGAGAGATTTGCCGTTGATTTCCTTAAAATGAAACAAGGGGAAGGACGGGTGTCAGGTTTGTCATACATCTCACTATTGTCTCTGTCTTCCAGGGATTTTTCAAGCGAACGGTCCAAAACAATAAAAGGTACACGTGCATAGAAAACCAGAACTGTCAAATTGACAAAACCCAGAGAAAGCGTTGTCCTTACTGTCGGTTTCAAAAATGTCTAAGTGTTGGAATGAAGCTGGAAGGTAAGATTCTTCTAAACACTGCTGCCTGCTAAGTCTCCAAGGACGTAGAATTTAAAGCAACATTTTACTTATAGCAACATTATTTCCCTGGTCTTTTAACACTGTTGACAGTGATGTAAGACTTTATGCTTTGTCGGCAGAATAGTCTGAGTTTCATTTTAACTCTTGTGAAATCAACCAGGAAAAAAAAATGTTAATATCAGAGTTGTGCCTCCCCCCCCCCATTTTTTTTGGTTTGGGGTGTAGCTGCATTTGATGCTAAAAATAGATTAGATGAAAACAAGACTGAAGTGATTCAACTGAGAACAAATAAAACTAATTTGCAAAAAAAATAATAATAATCCTTAAGTGTTCAAGTCAAAATGCCCAAGTGAAAGTTTGATTGGATTTTTTAAATAGGTGATCTTGTCATAAGTATTACTATCAATGATTCCTGAGCAAGGATTGAAGCCTTTAATTGTCTAAAGGCATTTCTCTTGGAGAGTGTCATTTTGGATGGTGTGGGAAAGCACATTTTTAAATTAAGATAATGATTGAGCCTGCAAAATAAAATTAAAAAGTGGAGAAGCAGGAACCATGAAAAATAATATTAGACAGGGACACGAGAGTGCTTCCTCAAATGCCACATGAAACTTCACATCGAAAGAGCGGAGTCAGGGCTTCAAATGTGCAGATCGGCAGGCGGTAAAGTTAAGATGTGGCCGCTGCCCGTAATTTGTAGTTCGCGGATGACTGCGGCACGTCGCTGTCCTTCAGGTCCTCACCTACTGACTTGCCACAGATTAAGGAAAATGACAAAGTAATAATGAGAATTACACATCACTGACATGTGCAGGCACAAGAGTGCATTTTCTTTTTTAAGATTTATTTATTGAGTTTTTAGAGAGAGAGGAAGGGAGGGGGAGAGGAACATCAGTGTGAGAATGAAACATCAGTTGGCTGCCTCCTGCATGCCCCCTACTGGGGAGCGAGCCCGCAGCGTGGGCAGGAGCCCCGACCGGGAATCGAACAGCAGCCTTTCGGTGCAGGGCAGGATGCCCGATGAACTGAGCCACACCGGCCAGGGCAAGGGTCCATTTTCTTTGATCCAATGAGGCACAGCCTAGTTGTGTTTGGAGTTTTTCTGTTATGTGGAACCCAGACTCGATAGAAATACCCCCAAATTCCCCATAGATCTGCTGAATCACTAATAGATTCCTTCCTAACAGAAGCAGCCACTTAGATTATCATGAGAACTGTCATGTCTGTATTACTTTTAAGAAGAGCTTGAAAGGGAGCAATTGATGTATATTAATTTCTTTATCAGTAATCACTTATTTTTTTGAAGGCCCAATATTGTAATAGATGCTTATTATAGTAAGAGAACAGAGAAATAAAATGTTAAAAATGAAATGCTATGATTTCCTAGGGTGTCGCTTGATTTTTTTTCCTTAACAAAAGAAAAAGGTTGCATTTCTTTACCTGGAAGTGTGTGCTTTCTTAACTGTAAGTCACTTGGGTGCCCACTCATCCTTCCCTATCAGTGAGATGAAACAAGTGAATATTCAATAGATTATCATCCACATGAAAAACTCTATTATCTTGCGTAGTCGTCTGGATATCTAGCATTCACCATACATTTTTAATGCTGGACTAATCCGAAGATAAGAAGCTCAAAAACATAACCTCCAGCCTTTTCACACGTCCCAGGTTGTCAGGGGCTGCTGGCTTCTAATTGCCGTTGGCCACTACAGGCTCACTTATTAGACGTGGCCCAGACTCCACCCAGCGCCGGGACAGGGGAGCTGTCTTGACAGCGTCTGAAATGAATTTGCTTTAACTCTGTCCAGTTTTGCTAAAATTAAAAACAAGGACTGGTGCTGATCTGATGTGCGTTCATCGAGTCCAGGTGAAAGTCATCTTCTAAGAAAAGTCCGTTCCCAACCTTTTTGCATCCAATTAGCCAACATGGCTTTGAAGGAGGAAGCTGTTCTAAGAGAAAATATTCACAATTTAATCCAGAAATGGGTTATTTGATATTTTGTTGCTCTCTGCAGCTTGGGTTTCCATAAAGAGAACCACAATGTAACTGGCATAATAGAAACCGATACTCTTAGAAAAACTGACACGCTTTTGAGCGATACAAAGTATCCTCTATGTGTGGCAACAATTAGGAAGTCTCCGGTCCAAGAAGGGCTAATAAGTCCCTCCGTATCCAAAATATTGTTTTTGATGATAAACACACTTGGAGGAAACAATTCGTGAATGATGAGGACAGGGCTTTGGGGGGCGGGGGGAACCTTTGAGGACTATTGTAAAGAAAACAACTGCACACACCACCTCTGGTCAATTTTAAATATTTCTAAATAGCCAGCGATCTGGGGAATGCTAATAACTTACATCTTATTTATACCCTGACTTTCTTTTTTTTTCTCCCAACAGCGGTGAGGGCCGACCGAATGCGCGGAGGAAGGAATAAATTTGGGCCCATGTACAAGAGAGACCGGGCCTTGAAACAGCAGAAGAAAGCTCTCATCCGAGCCAATGGACTGAAGCTGGAGGCCATGTCTCAGGTGATCCAGGCCATGCCGTCCGAGCTGAGCATCTCCTCCGCCATCCAGAACATCCACTCTGCCTCCAAAGGCCTACCTCTGAACCACGCTGCCTTGCCTCCCACAGACTACGACCGCAGCCCCTTTGTCACGTCCCCCATCAGCATGGCGATGCCCCCTCACGGCAGCCTGCAAGGTTACCAGACCTACGGTCACTTCCCCAGCCGGGCCATCAAGTCCGAGTACCCCGACCCCTACACCAGCTCGCCCGAGTCCATTCTGGGCTATCCCTACGTGGACAGTTACCAGACAAGCTCCCCGGCCAGCATCCCACACCTGATCCTGGAACTTTTGAAGTGCGAGCCGGACGAGCCCCAGGTCCAAGCCAAAATCATGGCCTACCTGCAGCAAGAACAGGCGAACCGGAGCAAGCACGAGAAGCTGAGCACCTTCGCCCTGATGTGCAAGATGGCAGACCAGACCCTGTTCTCCATCGTGGAGTGGGCCAGGAGCAGCGTCTTCTTCCGCGAGCTTAAGGTAGGCCCGCGGTCCCCCTCGACGGCTGCTGCTGCAGCTCCCCGGGACCCGCCGCCGTCCTAATTAACCTGGGCCCGGCGCGATGTGCGTTTCGTTCGGCTCTGTTTTACGGCCTGCCTGCTTTGTATGATTTACGGAGTGGAAGAATTGGATGGCCTTGGCTTCAGGACTAGCGCGGCTTAACTTGATGGGGCTTTTCTCTTCCCTGTAGCTCTTAATTTGTGGGGATGGCATTTAATGTAAAATATAGGAAACAGGTTTTTATCCTGAAAAGTAGCATGTCTTTATTTATGATTCCCTTTAACTCAGACGGTATATGGCTGGGCACATTAAGTCAGTGTCAGACAGCGCCTAGGAAACTTTTAAGAAATTACCAAGTCAAGAGCTAGCTTATAATGGAGCCATTTCCAAAAGAAAAAAAAAGCCAACATCGAGTTGCGTTGGACCCTAAAAAATGCAGATACCGCCACGGGTTAGTAGTGTCCCATCGGTATTTATTACCTGTTTATCTTGACTTGAGGGTGGAAAGGCCTTTGTGTTTGGAGCAAACTCCACTGGGAGGTTTGCTGTCTTTGGTGGGGGGGTCGGGGGGGGGCAGTGGAGAGAACTGGTCTACTTGGCTCGGGTTTTAGGTCCCATAACCTATGTCTGTCGTTGATGCTAATGGATTGGTACATTGTAAACACAGGACTTGTTTGCCTAAGGATCTCTGTTTAACTACATAATTATTTTATTTCCTGAAACTGAAGACTAGATTAATATGGGAAAGTTCTATAGACACCGGGAATCTCACAGTGGCGGCCGACCCCACCTGGTAGCCCCGTGGTTACGTTCTCGGTTTTAAAAACAAAAGTGAATTCTGGCTTTGATTTCTAAGTATATCTGTTATGAAAACAATGTCTTCCTTTTGCTGGCCTGGGGGGGGGGGGCTCTGCTGCTTTAGTACCCTGGTCACTGATCGCCTTGGACGCAGCTGGGGGAGCGGATTTTTTAATCCAGGAAAGGAGGGCGGCACACAGCAGACTTCTCAGTGAAAGGGTTTCTGTTAAAAATCGTCTGTGGAGATGGACCAGGGGCTCCGAGAGCCACGCGCGAGTGGGAGAGGAACTTCCACAGCTGTCCTCATTTAGCTCTGTAATTTGTGCAGGGAAACAAGTTGTCTGAACGGATCCAAATAAGTTGGTAGAGCACCAGCGGCATGTGGTTGAGACAGTGATGCACCCAGTCCTTTCTTGCTAATTTGAAGGTGGCTGGAGGTGGGACACTGGGGGGCCCAGGGCAAGCAGAGGGCACCGGTTAGCACCTCCAGGCCAGAGGTGAGCTGAGCCTGTGCCCGTCGGTGCTCCTCAGGGCATTTTCATTGCAAACCAAACCTGCCTGGTGTTCTCACCTTTACAACGGTGTCTTTGAGAGAGCAGGTAAAGTCTTTGAAAATGAAAACAAAAATGACCATTTTTAGATAAGGCGGAAAGGCTGGGAAATGGAACAGTGAGGAAGACACAGCCCTGCCGTCAGCCGGACTGGATTTGACCACCTTACATGTAGCACCTGGGGGG